GACGAGGGCTGGGAAAGAATTCATAAAGAGAAGAAAGTGTAGAAAGTAAAGTTTTGTGGGGGTTTTTTTGTTTGTTTTTTAAATAAGGGATTTTTTTTAAAGGTTTTATTTATTTATTTTTTAGAGAGGGAAGGGAGGGAGAAAGAGAGAAAGAAACATCAATGTGCAGTTGCTGGGGGCTGTGGCCTGCAACCCAGGCATGTGCCCTGACTGGGAATCAAACCTGCGATACTTTGGTTTGCAGCCCACGCTCAATACACTGAGCTACGCCAGCCAGGACGAAAGTAAGGTTTTATTAACTCTCCAAGAAAGGAGAGAGGCATGGTGTGGAGGAATACACCAGCACTGAGGGGTGGGGCTTTGAGCTTTTATTGGATTATAACTGGATTAAAGGGTTTAGGGTACCGTTTTTTTGGCCCCTGGGATGTTCTAACACAAGGCTGCAATTTACTCCAATGTTATTTTCTGCCTGTGGCTATAGGGAGTAGTTAGTTCTGTTCTTGCTTTCCAGTCATTTCCTGTCTTGGGGCCACAGGCTCAGATGAATAAAATGATAGTCACATTTAACAAGGTCATAGGCCTGCTCAGCAAATGGCACCACAATAGCAAATGATGCAGATTTGTCCTTTCAGTTAAGATGGTAAATTTTATGTTATGCATATTTTACCACAATAAGACATTTAGAGGAGATGGAAAAAAATAGGTTAGACTTTGCTAGGGTGGAACCAAGGTTTTGCCCAAATTATAACTCCCTGCGATTTTCTTTTTCTTTTGTATTGAGGAGTAGCATACCTAGAGTAAAGAATGTGTAGTGCATTAATCTTAGTCTCAGCTGTACAGTTCATTGAGCTTTTACGTGTGTTTGTGTCTGTATAACACCACCCAGTCAAGATGCGGAACATTCGAGCGCCCAGGAGTTTCCTTCCTACTCAGTAACTCCCCCGGCTGGTAATCTCTGTTTTGACTTCTACTAACCAGGCAGTATAAATTCTTTTGTGTCTCCGGTTTCTTTCACTTAGGATAATGTATTTGAGATCCATCCACTTATTGGTATATTCATAATTTTTAAAAATTGCTTGAACTTTCTATTGTATACTCTACTGCTATTTAATTTACCCCCTCTCCTGTTGAGGAACAATTTGGGTTGTTCCATTTTGGGGCTATCATCAATAAAGCTTCTGTGAACATTCTTTTGATGAACCTGTGTACTCACTCCTCTTGGGTATATATCTAGGAGTAGGACTGCTGATTACTAGGGTGTAAATGTTCAGCTTTGGTAGACATTGCCTGTTTTCCAAAATGGTTTCCAAAATGTATGCACTCCCGTCAGCAGAGCACGAGAGCTCCAATCGTTCTACCACCTCACTGACACTTGCTATCAGTGTACTTTTCTCTTTTGGGCTATTCTAGGGGTATGTAGCACCCTGAGATATAAACAATGCAAAAGTAGAAACTGTCTTTTTAAATTCTGAAAATCGTTAAACTCCTAATTCTCAGTAAATGACCCTGAAGACAGTGGAGGAAGGTGGACCAGGGCCTTTGGGCACCTGCCAGTGCAGTGGGCAGGGGCTGCCCATTTCGAGTCTCAGTTGATCTGAAGGCTTTTACATATGTTTTTCTACAAATGTCAGATGTATTTGTAATGGCTCTGGGCATTGCACCTCCCTGTCTCTGGTGTTCTAGACCAGCAATTTTCAACCCTTTCCATCTCATGACACACATAAACACTAAAATTCTGTGGCACACGAAAAAAATTTTTTTTGTTGATCTGACAAAAAAAACAGGTATAATCTTGATTCATTCACACTGGACAGCTGTCATTGTGTTGACTGTTGTCATTTTTTTTATTTGACATTCTATAAGAAAAGAGGTCCATGCCCCTGACTAAGTAGTCAGATACTGTATGTTTTACAAATTCTTGTGGCACACCAGTTGAAAATCCCTGTCCTAGAACTATTCCTCTTCAGCAATATCCTTTAAAGAAGACTAACAATAGTTGGGAAAACTTATTTGTAGTTTTCTCATTAAACTTGAATGTAATTTTCCTGGACCAGATGTGTGATATCACTTAGGGGTCCCCCTCTTTTTTTTCAGCAGCAGATGAAACAATTTTATTTCACAGTTATCTTTAAAACTGCAAAGACACTGTTCTTTTTTTTTTCCTTTTCATTGAATTTATTGGGATAACACTGGTTAACAAAATTATACAAGTTTCAGGTGCACAGTTCTACAACACATCATCTTTGCACTGCATTGTGTGTTCACAACACCCACGTCAAGTCTCCATCCATCACCATTTATCCCCTATACCCTCCTTCCCCTCCCCCACCACCCTCAGCTATCACCACACTGTTTTCTATGTCCATGAGTATTTCCTTTTTCACTCAACCCCTCCAACATCACCCCAAACCAGCCTTCAGGCCTCACCCCAGACAGCTGTCAGCCTGCTCTCTATGAGTCTGTCTCTATTTTACTTGTTAGTTCATTTTGTTTATTAGATTCTATATATGAGTGAAATCATATGGTACTTGTCTTTTTCTGACTGGCTTATTTAACTTAACATAGTTAAGTTCATAGTTAAGCTCTCCAAATTCATCCATGCTGTTGCAGAGGGTAAGATTTCCTTCATTTCTATGGCCAAGTAGTATTCCACCGTGTAAATGTATTACAGCTTTGTTATCTACACATCTACTGATGGGCCCTGGGACTGCTTCTAGATCTTGGCTATTATATGTAATGCTGCAATGAACATAGGGGTGCATTTATATTCTTTGAATCAGTGTTTTGGGTTTCTTAAGATATATTTCCAGAAATGGAATTGCTGGGTCATAAGGCAGTTCACTTTTAATTTTTTGCAGAAACTCCATACTGTTTTCCACAGTGGCTACACCAATCTGCATTCCCACCAACAGTGCACAGGGGTTCCCTTTTCCCTGTGTCCTTGCCAACACTTATTGTTTGTTTATTTATTAATGGTAGCCATTCTGACAGGTGTGAGGTGATATCTCATTGTAGTTTTAATTTGTATTTGATGATTAGAGACATTGAGCATGTTTTTCATATGTCTGTTGGCCATCTGTGTATATATTCAAGCTCTCTGCCCATTTCTTAACTGGATTGTTTGTTTCTTTGATGCTGGGTTGTATAAGTTCTTTATAAATTTTGGATATTAACCCCTTATCAAGATGTATGGGCAAATATTTTCTCACATTCAGTGGCTTTTCTTTTTATTTTGTTGATGGCTTCTAAGACACTATGTTCTTCACATAAAAACATTAGTACAGATAACAATACTTTCTAGAATATCATTACATAGACCCCTTCAAAGAAAAATGCATCCCATTATATGGTTTCAGTGACATTGCTTGGGAAAAACTCACACCTGGACTGATTCCTAAAACATAGCATTTCACCACTGCCTCTTTTGGTTCAAAGTATAGACCATTGTTATCAGGACAGGTTTCTGTGTTCTTCTTCACATTGGATGATACACATAAAGACAGGGGATTATCACTTAATGCCTTTCATGCAGGCTCATCAGCAGGTTGAGCAGGCTATGCCTCTCTCTGTGGCCTTTCTTCAAGACCCAGGAACAAAGACACATTATCAACATCATACATCATAAACTCCAGGTCTTCACCAGCAAATCCAATGGAAATGTTCTTTGTAGTCAGGTCCTGTTCCGCAGGAAGTGTCTTTCTTCTTTTTTCTTTTTTTTAAATTTTTTTAAAGATTTAATTTGTTTATTTTTAGAGAGGGAAGGGAAGGAGAGAGAGAGAGAGAAACATCAATGTGCAGTTGCTGGGGGTCATGGCCTGCAACCCAGGCATGTACCCTGACTGGGAATCGAACCTGCGACACTTTGGTTCACAGCCTGTGCTCAATCCCCTGGAAGTGTCTTTCATAAAGCACAGAGACCACACTTAACCAGTTCATTCAAACTGTATTCAATAGACTCAGACACATGTCTGTCCAAGCAAGTATGGGCTCCAAAGGACATAGTTCTGCAGTCAAAACAGATGGGGAGACTTGGAAAATATGGGGATCCATATTATCATAACCAGCAATAAGCAGCCCAACACCGTGTGGTCTTTGGCCTTCTCTTTGCACTGGTATCTGGCTCTTGCTTCCAATTAGAGGTAAAAGACATGACACAGGAAGAGATCTGTCAAATACAAATCTGGAATCCAACACTCCTGGTGCATAAAATTACACAACATTCTAGCATCAGCATAAGTCCTGCAGTTGAGATACCAATATAGTTGTCAACAGGGAGAACTTTTTCTGAGGAGCTGCAGGCTCTGACTGTGCTGTCTCCAATGCCCCACTGCCTCTCTCCTGTTCAGCCCAGAGTTGCTTAATGGGTGTCCCCCTCTTAAACTTCAATTTCTTTCAACAAATGTTTGTTCTCCCTTTCCATGACAGACAAGAAAGCAGGAAAGGAGTTAGGGGTTCTGCTCTCTGTTGTTCATTAAAAGTGTTCCCTGGCCTCCAAAACAGTTCCTTCTTCCCTTTGAACACATTGTCTATATGAGATTGTATACAGGGTACTTTGCATTGAGCATAGGGTGGATATTCAGGTCTTTTCTACATCTTCCATTTGCTTCCTCCAGACATATATTTAAGTTAATTCTCTTGTCCTTGGATTTTTTTGGTGCATTGTCATGTCCTGACTTTTGTACATCTCAAAGCTCTTTTTTTATAGGCTCCTGCTTTTCTAAAAAAACAATTTCCAGGAAAGCAGGGTTTTAAAGAATTTATTATTTAAAGTGTGACATGATGGGTAATATCCACCCATGAACTTACAGTATTCTTTGAAATGATGATAGAAGATCATCCTCAGACCTGTTAATGATCACACAGGTCATGCTCCTCCAAGAGCTATTGCTGCATCTAGCCCCCAGGCAGGTGGGACTGCTCAGTCACTCACATAATCTGGAGTTCTCCTCACTGAAAGTACATCTCTTCATCCTCTCTTTTTCCCTCCATCTCTCTCTTAGCTCAAGAGGGCCAGTAGTGAGGACATGCTCAACAAACCAGGAAGTACCACCACTTCTGGTGTAGTTCGACTGAAAAAGACTTCCACAGCCGGAACCATCTCCGAGCTTGCTGAGAGTCGCCTAAGGAGCCACCCAGGTAGGAGGCATCCCAGTCAGAGGGCTCATGTTCAAAGGGCTCTGGTTGGAGAAATCCAGGCTGAAGGGACCCGGACAGGCCATTCGTCTTGGCTGTGTGGAAGTACTTCGATGATGAATGGGTCCCTTCCTTGTCAGATGTGTATTGAGCACTTGCTCAGGCCAGGACGTGTTTCAGGTAAAGACATCCTGCCCATGGGAGTTTATATCTAGTGGGGAGACAGACAAGAAAATAAAGGTCATGTGGAGTGTCATGGTTCCCTCTGTCCTTGTGGTTGTTCATCTGTTATCATAAGTGTGTGACATCCAGGCCAAGCAACATATGTTCTGGGGCTGTCTTGGTGTGACATTTATGGGATGAGTGCTGGAGCCAATCCTGCAGGCCCCTCACATGTGCAGGGCACACTGTTCTATGGCAAAGTGGGATAGTCATCACATAAAGGCCAGTCTGAGTAGCTTAGATGGCAGTGGCCACTGGAACTATGAAATTTCTCAGTGTTTCTTTTTGAGAAACAGAAAAGGTGTTTTAAACATTATATTTTAGTTCAGAGCATGGGAAATTTAAAACATCAAAGAACGGAGGAGTGACATAAAAGAAATGGCAGCATGAGAAGTTCCCCTGGTCTCTCCTCTTGAAGTCACAAAAATTTGAATAGCAATAATCCAAAAAAGGATTCCCTGTTCAAAACACAAACACATTTGAGAGGTCTACACACTGAAACATCTGAAGTTGGGCGAGTTGGAGGGAGCAGGGGAGGTAGGGAGGGAGAAGAGCGGAGACAGGTGCCACAGACACAGCCCAGAGCTCATTGCAGGTCCTGGGAGAGGGAAGTATTAGATGGCTGTCTGCACTGCCTATACCGGGAGGAGCAGAGAGGTACAGTGAGTTGAGCATTCCTGATGGAGGGATTGGTATGCATTGTGCCTGAACCCTGTCACCTGGGCAGAGATGGAGTGCAGAGGTGCAGTCATGGTTGTCTGGTGGCTGCTGCTATCGGGCAGAAGAACAAAGCCCCAGAGCCCAGCTGCCTCCTTTCACCTGCCCAGAGCTATTAGCGGGCCCCAGGAGGAACTATACCAGCAGTGAGTGTTGAGCTACAGAGTATGTTATCTGCAGCCCTGAGAACTGGAGAGGCAGAAGCAGAAGTGTTTTACTCTGAGCAGCACATACATGCTGTGGCTGATTGCAATGATTGGGTGAAAATACAAAGGGGAAGCAGCTGAGGTCCTGTAGCCACCATTACTGGGAGGAGAACAAATCCACAAATGCACCAACAAGCATCTCACAACTCACCCCATCCCCACCCATAGCACTAGAATTTCACAGTCTTGGAGCCACATTGCCCACCACATCCCCTGCACAGGTGGAGCTCTGAAACAGGCGAGCTGTCCCACTCCCAGGGCAATACAGTTCATTTTCTTCCATCTCGAAGAGATCCAGGAAGCCTGAGCAGTGCAAGGAAAACAAAAACTTGTGCTTTGGTGCCACCTACTGGAAAACAAAAGAAAGATTTCTCCTTATCAAACTACTATATAGAGAAGTGCCACTCTTTAAATAAAAAGAAAAGCACAAATTCCAGTTAAGATGGCAGCACAAGTAAATGTGGTCCTTTAATCCTCCCATAACACATCAAAATTACAACTAAACTACAGAACAACCATCATAGAACTGCCTGAAATCTAGCTGAATGGAAGTCCTACAACTAGGAAATTAAAGAAGCAACATCAACACTGGTAGAAGGGTGGAGATGTGGAATGGCACTGTCCCATACCCACAAGTAGTGGATAAAAATCCGGAGGGATATCTCTGCTGCAGAGTTCCCCGCTGCGGAGCAAGGGATCCCAGCACCACATGAGGACCCCCTCCCATAGTTCCAGTGTCAGGAAGAGATGTCCCCATAATTTATGGCTGTAAACACCAGCAGGGATCGAGGTTGAGGAAGATAAAGGCTTCTGGAGTCCTAAGAAGTTCCTTTTAAAGGGCCTGTGCACAGACTTGGACTCATTCCCTCTGAGTTCCAGTGACATGTACACCAGCCCACAGTGTCCACGGTGTTATGGATGAGATATGAGACAAATTCACGTGGACTACCAAGTCCTGTGGAGGAAAAGGGATGACACGGCTACTCTCTCAAGAGGAGAGCCCCTCAACTCTTGACAGGTTTTTATTGGGTTTCATTTTGCACAGGAATACAGGTAAAACTCATTAATCATTGTCAGGCAGTAAGATCAAACAATAGATAGCATACAAAGAACTATGAGGGCCTATTCTGAGTCAGGGTCTGTTAGCTAAAGGGCTACAAAACTTTGGGAAACAAACTCATTTCCTGCTTAGACCCTTATCATTTAATTGAGAGCATTCTTAGCAAAGCAGGTTTCACAGGATTTTATGTATTCTTTTTCAAGCCTGATCACCTGGGGAACCCGTCCTTTCCAGCACAGGGCTATACCACCCTCTGTCATTGTTTCAAGCTTAAGTCAGGCAGGGGAAGTAAGGCAGCCAAGAGATTAGGAGATTTCTTGCAGACAGAATGAGAATTCAGGCTATGTCAAAGCCGAGGGGCGAGGGTCCATCACCCTCTTTTGCTGTAGCCCCTAAGTCCTTCCTTGGTGCCTCCACATGATCGTGCCTGTCTTAGGTCATTCCCCTCTTGGGGAATCTTACCTGTCATTGGCTAACCGATCAAGCATTGGGGGCCAGTTATGGATGAAGTAAAAGGAGCAGAAGTGGCGCTCCTGCCATGGAGATAAGCTTTGTCTCCTTAGTGGCTTATGGTCCGAAGGTTGCTCACTCAGCCTTAGCCATGAGGGGGTTACAGCTCCTGAAACCAGGCAGGGCAGTTCCCAACATTCTAGTACTGAGGCAACAGCTCAAAAGGCACCAGGGACATACGGGAGGAACTGAATTATCTGGCATCAGGGCAAGAGCTGGAGGGGTGAGGGGTGGAGCACAGCTTTCTGTCAGACAAAAGTGCTGGCAGAGGCCATTGTTCCTTTTCTGAGACCTGTCCCCACACAGAGTTTGCAGGTGGGTGCTATATCTGAATCTCCTGGCAAATACTGCCCCATCCAATTTGTAGGTTCACTCATGCTGTTTCCAGTGACTTTTCCGTACAAATGGCCTATGTTGGCTCATACTTTAGACTTTCCTAAAATCTCTCAGACAAGAAGGATTTGGCCTTAGTATGCCCCATACCTCTCACTAAGTGGACCTCAGCCCAGCATTGGTAGCAACCAGTCTTGGTTCATAGCTTGGTCTCTCCTGGGCACCTCCAAGCCCAGCACAGTAGCAGCCATCAGAAGACTGCTCTGTAGCTCATGCCAGCTTGCCTTGGGAAGAACACAGGTGATGGTAGACCTTGGTTTGCACCTCCCAGAAGGCCACAGAGCCAGTCCACCCAATGGACAGCTTCAGACCAAGTTGAGTGTCACCACTCAACCACTCCCATAGGTGACACACTCAAGGGGAGGACTCAACAGGCACCAGAGCCCTGCTGAAGTAAGTCCTGCTCTGTGGGTTGGGCCCCTGCACAGCTGATATTCCACAGTGGTTGGTGGTCACAACCAGTTCTTGCAGCTGATTGGCCTGGGGGTAAATACCTCTCATTGATGTGCCAACAGCAATTAAGGCTAACTACAACAGGAAGGGATACACAGCCCACACAGAGTGGGGCACATCTGGAGTGCCCAACTTGGGTGATCAGGAAGGCTGTGCCACTGGACCCCACAGGACACCTACTACAAAAGGCTACTCTATCAAGCCTGAGAGACATAGAAGCTCTACCTAACACATAGAAAGAAACACAGGGAGGCTGCCAAATTGAGGAGACAAAGAACATGTCCCAATGAAAGTACAAAACAAAACTCCAGAAAAAGAAATAAGCAAAATAGAGACAAGTAATCTACTAGATGGAAAGTTTAAAACACTGCTTACAAAGATGGTCAGTGAACTTAGTGAGAACTTCAACAGCATAAAAAAGGACATAGATACCAAAAAAAAGAACCAGTCAGAAATGAAAGATACACTAACTGAAATGAAATCATTTACAGGGAATCATCAGTAGAGTAGATGATGTTGAGAATCAAATAAGCAGTTTGGAGTTAGGTAGCAGAAAACATCCAATCAGAACAGCAAAAATAGAAAAGACTCCAAGAAAATGAAGATAGTGTAAGGAGCCTGTGGGATAACATTAAGCATGCCAACATTGGCATCATGGGGGTGTCAGAGGATAGAGAGAGAGCAAGAAATTTTGAAAACCTATTTGAAAAAAATGACAGAAAATGTCTCCAACCTGGTGAAGGAAAATAGACATACAAGTTCAGGAAGCACAAAGAGTCCTGAACAAAATAAACTTAAAGTGGCCCACACCAAGATACTTCATAATTAAAATGGAAATGGTTAAAGACAAAGAAAGAATGTTAAAAGCAGCAAGAGAAAAGCAGAGAGTTACCTAGAAGGGAGCTCCCATAAGAATATCAGCTTATTTCTCAACAGAAACTTTGCAGACCAGAAGGGATTGGCAAGAAATATTCATAATGATGAAAAGCAGGGACCTACAACCAAGATTGCTCTACTGAGCAAAGCTATCATTTGGAATCAAAGGACAGATAGCTTCACAGACCAGAAAAAACTAAAGGAGTTTAGTTTTACTACCAGACCAGTATTATATAAAATGTTAAAGAGTGTTATTTAAGAAGCATAAAAAGATAGAAAATATGAACATTATAATGTCAACAAATACATATCTATCAACAATAGAACCTAAAAAGCAAAATAAATAAACTAGCATAACAAAAACAGACTCATAAATACAGAGAACATTTTGATGGTTGGCAGATGGGAGGGGGGTTGGAGGGACAGGGAAATGGGTAGGAAAGGTGAAAGGATTAAGATGTACAAATTTTTGCTTGTTACAGAATAGTTATAAGGATGTGAGGTACAGCATAGGGGGATATACAGTATTTTTTTTTACTATCAGACAGACTCCCCCCCCCCAAATT